CCTACATATTGATAAAAATAACTTAATTTAAAAATAATTAATCTCCAACTTATATGATAACAACGATTTTTTAAATGGTTTATACTATGTATATAACCCGGTTTTGTCATTTTTTTTTTTATAGGGGAAATTACACCATTATCTACTTTTCAAGATCTATATTTTAAAATCAGATTTGAAGTTTAAATTTTAAAAAATCAGATATTTTTTTAATTAGAAACATTATAATTATATATATTATAATTACCCAAACCCACCATAATTATTTCATCTCATTTTCTCTCCTCTTTCTCTATCCCTAGCGCCACCACACAGTCCCACACCGTCGGCACCACCTCTTCGGCGACACCACCACCTTTGTTGGAATTCATAGGCAAACACCTTCAGTACTCCAAATTTTGGAACATCGGTTCCAAGAAATCCCACCAGATCTTACTTTCTAGTAAAATTGGGATGCTGTTACTCTACACCCCGACATTTCTTGATGGTCTTGCTTCGTTTTGGATTTTCCTAGATGATGGAACTAGGTTTATGATGGTCCAATTTGCTGTTACTTTCCATTTTCTCAAAAGGGATCTTGAGGTAAGCTCTGTGATTTAACTAGTTGAGATTTTAGATGACGTGAGGTGGTTCAGTATAGCTGTTGATGGCCTTTGTGGTTCGCAGATGAGATTTGTGTATTGGTTTTGAATGTGGCAGATATGGTGGTGCTATTGTGGTTGACGGGTGGTGATGGTAGTGAAATGAGAGTTGGAAGTGCTGCATCTGAATTTGGGAGACAGTGTGTGCGGTGGTGGTTTTGCCATGAGGTTGTGGTGTTGGGTGCTGGGAGGTTGTGGTGTGCGCGCGCGGGTGCAGCGGTGGGTGTCGATCATGCCGGCGAGATGGGATTGGAGGTGACACTGATTATTTTGTGCGTGGTTATTGGTGACTGTGATTATTGGTGGTCGTGATTATTTTGTGCGTGCATGAGGCGGTGGGTGTCAAGCATGCCGAGGATATAGCGTTGGAGGTGACTGTGATTATTTTGTGCGTGTAATCGAGTGTGACCAATTAAAATTGTAACTGTGACTCACTGTAATCGAGTTGTGACCAATAAAAGTTTTGATTTTTTCAATTTGTGACCTATAAAAAATTTTAATTCGTGGCCGAAAAATAACTTGTAACCTATAAAAAAAATTTAATATGTGGTTGAAAAAGAAGGAAAAGTTATTGATGTGACATATTGTTAAACTGTGACCTTAAAATTCGATAAAATAAGTGTGACCAAGAAATACCTATAAAATTCTTGATTTGTGACCATAAAAATAAGTTGTGACCAATAATTTGATAAATTGTGATCAATTTGTAATGAATAAATGAGTTGTTAAGGTCACAGTTTATTGGTCACAAGTTTGAGTTCACAAGTCACGGTCATTTTGTATATATCACAAATCAATATAAACGGGTCACGAATTAGTATGATCAATTAATTTGATAGTTAACTGTGGCTAAATAATTCGTCGTTAAGGTCACAGATCATTGTCACAGATTTGAGTTCACAAGTCATAGTCATTTTTTATAGGTCATAAATCAATATAAACGGGTCACAATTTGCAGAGAAACGGTTTAAATTTACAGGTCACATTTTATATTACTAGTCACAAGCAACAATCAAGAGGTCAAAAATCGTGTCAACTGTATAAAAAAAATATATGGCGGAGCTGTCGCCAGAATATTCGTCGGAGTTGGAACAATTGTCAGAATCGGAGCAATCGTCGGAACGATAATCGGAATAGTCGTCAGAATCGAAACAGTCGC